TACGCAGGCCACAGTAGCGGCCCGCCACGGTAGGAGGTATTCTTCTTGTGCATTTGTTCGATGTTTCTATTTTATTTCCCACGAGTGGTATGTGGAGGAATCTCGAAGACACTGTGAGCAGACGGTGCCTACGCGGAGCCTGGCGTCAGCTCTTACTGCCTGGGCCAGCACCTTGGCCCAGGGCCACGCCCATTCCGTGTCACTGTCCTCCACGCCTCGAGCCTCAGTGCCACACCATTGTCAGCTGCACGGCACGGGGACAGAGCTGCTACCGAATCAGACAGCCGGCTGCAGGCCGTCACTATCTTGTAATTTAATGATACGTGGAGACCTCTATGCACAGGGCCGCTGGGAGAGTCATGATGCATTTTTGCATAGAAAACCAGAAAAGCACGTCATAGCTTTCTGATAGCCTACCATACACAGAATCGCACGCACTAAGGAACATGTGAATCCCTGACGTCTCAGTCGGACCGTGCAGAGGTGCGTGCACTGCCCACACCCAGCTCGACGGGCCCGCCTTGTTTTGTAAGAGGAGACATGTCCTCTCTGGGCAGCCGGGCCAGCAGCACCGCGCTGTCATGCTCGGCGTCCGCTGACACCACCATGCACAGAGGCGCTCCACGGCATCTTAGCCGAGCGCTGGTGACGAGGTTTGTGGACTGTAACTCCGTGCCCCTCGGTAAAAATGGCTCTGCCCTCCCCGGGGAAATGTTCTCAGCACATCACAACAAACAGCACTGCTGGGGACCAGCGATGGCAGTGCTCACGTTGCTGGGCTCCCATGTAGTCGACTGTGGTTCGGGTCCCGGATCCGGTGGCTTAAAACTCGCTGGGCACATGTGTGTGCATGCCCAAAATCCCAAAAGGAGAATGGAGAAGGGATTGCGGCTTGGCCACCTTCCTAGTGGGTAGTTTCTTGCTCTCTGCCTCTGTCTCTCCAGTGAGCACGCGCACCCTATAGCAAAATCTCTCTAAGAGAAAGACACGGGCGCCTTGAGCACAGCAGAGCCACAGCCGTCAGGCTGCATGAGTGATTTATGCCCTGGGCCAGCCATGAATCCGGCCATGTGATGGTCAGCACGAAGCTCGCCTGGTCAGGACAGCCAGCGTCCAGGGCAGGTGCGCGAGGGTAGCACATCCACCGTGAGCCCAGACAGCCGGAGCCGGGCAACAACGGGGTGAGGAGCCCATGGTGTAGACAGGTCCCGCACCGCCAGGCACCTGCACTGCCCAGGAAGGGCCTCGCTGCTGGCCACCGTGCATGCTGGGGACAAGGCCAGCACAGAAGACTACCACAGAGCCCAGTCCAGAGCTGGCCTCTGAGATCACAGCCACGGGGTCCTCAGAGCTGCAGGGAAGGGGCTGGCTTGGCTTGTGACCCCCGAACCTCACGATGTGACGTTGTTTAGAGAGAGGGTCTTTGCAGATGCAGCCGGTTAAGAGGAGGTCTCCCTGGAGTGGGGCAAGGGCAGTGGGGTATGCTCCGTCCAGCTGAGCCTGGCCAGCTGCAGAGGAGACCAGGCCTGAGGCCCGTGGCCTGCACACGTGCCAGTGGGTGAGGTGGCCTGGGGAGGTGTGTGTGTGTGTGTGGGGGGGGATCCTGTCTTCTTAAGGTCTCTCCTAAATTTCTTCCAAAACAGAGCGCCTGGCTCCACCCAGCCTCGGCCAGCACCGCTGCCTGTGCCCAGCTGGGGAGGCCTCCACACTGTAATGCGGGGTCCCTGCACCTGGCCCAGCAGGCTGCTCAGTATGTGGGGCTACAGGCTTCCTTAGGGCTTCCTGTGAGGTAAGCCACGCTTGTTCGAGAGTCAGGCAGTGGTCCAGGCTCAGTTCTTGGGAGTGGCAGGGGAGAGAGGGGGAGGGGAGCAGAGCGGTCCCCACACCCCGGGCCTGGCCTGGCTCCTTCTGCAGACCCTGGCCCTCCAGGGCAACGGGGCTGGCATCTGGTCCGGACGTTTCCAGGCTGCCATTCTCAACGGACGTTCAGCCCTCAGGTTCTGCCCTCGAGGGACAGGACAGGACAGAATGGCGCTGTCTCCAGGGTGCCCTCTCTCCAGGTGTCCTCCAGACACTCCCAAATCACGCGGCTTCCAGGCCTCGGCCTCCCCCGCGGTGGCCTGGCACCCTGAGCGCCGACGGGGAGAGTGGGACGCCGACGCGTTGTCGAGAACGGCTGAGGTCAGGGCACCGAGGTCAGAGTGGAGCCCCTCCCTGCCCGCCACCACGGGGAGAGGGCTGGCCTGAGCTCTAGTGACAGTGGGCAGCAGGGGCCTGGACTCACCATCTACAGACCGCCGTCCAGCTGAGGGCCGCCACACCGCCGACTAGCAGGGCGCCCAGCGCCACGGACACCCAGGAAGCGCGCGGGAGCCTCCCTGAGTCTGGGCAGAAAGGGGACAGGTCAGCGGGGCCTGCTGGCCCGGGTGCAGCGAGCCCGCTCGACCGCGGCCTCACCCATCTTGGGCCACCTCACTGAAGCTCTCACGCCACAGCCACACCTGTTTGCCGGTGTGGAGCGCGGGCAGGGCAGGGAGTGGCCGAGGGGGCGGCGTCTACACAGGCAAACCTCTCAGAGGCTTCAGGTGCAGCACAGCAAAGCCCCTGAGATGACAGAGGACGCCAGGGTTTCAGGGGCAGAAGGTCTGAGTGACCCTGGCCACGGCGGGTGTGTGTCACCCTGGCTGGCCCAGGAGAGCCATCGGGTGGGACCAGGGGCTCTGGATGGCCTCAGTCCTCCCAAAGTGCGGAGGGCTCTACCTCTCTGGTTTCAGCGGTCAGGCGGGGTCATCTCGTCCCACCATGGGGCCTCCTGCTCCCAGTCACCAGCTCATGGGCACCTCGGCACCGTCACCTCCCAGGTACCCTCCCACATGGCTGAGCGGCAGAGCCGGCTGCGGCGGAGGGGGTGGCTCACCCACGCAGGACCTGCCGTCGTCCGCTAGCACGTGAGGGTCCGTGCACACGCACTGGAACGTGCCCTGCGTGTTCCTGCACCGCGCCGAGGGGTGGCAGGGCGGCCGCGCCAGGTCCCTGCACTCATCCACATCTGCAGAGAGCGGTCAGCACAGACGCCGTCCCCACCTCCCTCCCGGCCGCGTTCACCCAGGCCTGCCTCTGCGCCTTGCGCTCCGGGCACCCCGAGACGTCTGGCTACAGCACCGAGAAGTGCGGCCCTCCGCTAGCCCTGCCACACCCCTCCAGCCCTGCCCGCCGGGCCTTGCTCTGTCCAGATCCCAGCCTGACTGGGTTCCTGTGAGCCGTGGCATCCTGTGGTCTCTCAGGAACCAGCCCCAAGGACAGCTACCGCTGACCACCACGGCCACTGCCCCAGCATGAGCCATCACTGTGCTAAACAGCTCTGCCACAGATGCTGGGTTCGACCCATCGCCCACTCGGTCGGGACGGTGGACACAGCCAATTTCCCTGGCAGGGGCTCACTACCCTGGGCAGTACTGGCCGATGGCAGGGGCACAGCCTCCTATAGGGCGACAGGACCTTCCGGGTGGGGGTGGTCACTGTCGATGGCAGGCATAGGTGGGGAGAGTAGAGGGGGGATGGGCTCCAGTAGGGAGGCAGGGTCAGGGGAGGGGGAGGCTAGGGTCAGGGTAGAGGGAGGACGGGGTCAGGTATGGGGGATGGGGTCAGGCATGGAGGACGGGGTCCAGTAGGGGAACAGGCCAGGGCGGCTCAGGCTGGCACCATCCACACGAGGGCCCCCGACTGGCTGGGGACACGCAGAGCACAGAGCTGGCCGGCAACAGCTCCCTCTGCAGGGTCGTGAGAACTTCCTGCCGTGCCCGCAGAGTCGCCGAGGCCAGGTGTAGACAGGGGTCCGTGACTGGGTTCCGAGTACCGGCCAGGCTGCGTGTCCTGGTGAGCGTCTCCGTGCTGCCCGGCTCCGGGCCCCACACGCGGCCCTGAGCTCACGTCCAGGGCCCTGCTGACATCTCTCTTCAGCCTGTTCCCTTTGGGCCCACTCCAGGGGCCAACTGCCCACAACGGCCGTTAGGGACAGCTTCGCCGGCATGGAGAGGCGGGGACACAGCGGCCGCTGCGTGGGCCTCTGGGAGGGGATGAGGCCTGGGGGCGAGGGGTCCCTGCGGCTGAATGGGACTTTATGTGAAGACACAGCCCCAGGCCGGGAGGTGCCACCTCAGCCGAGCGGTGGCTGGCAAGGAGGCCCTCAGCAGACACGCCCGCAGCCTGGAGCCGCGTAAGCCGCCGTCTCGCTTGGTGACAGTGTGGCGTGCAGCTGCAGCCGTGGAGAAGCTGAGCGTCCTCCTACAGGGCACATGCTGGCCTGGGCTCCACGTCCCGAGGGCCAGCCCTGCTCGTTTGCGATGCCCCCAGCCCGGAAGCTGACGCAGGGAGGGTGGACGTGGGCCTCTGAGGACAGGGCCGGGCATCATCCAGGCTCCTCAGGAGGTGCGTTCTGGCTGTGGCTGGGCACTGTGCCAGGGCCGCGCCGCCCTCACACTCCTCAGTGAGCCCTGCTCAGCGGCACTAAGCCTTTGCCGTCCAGCCCCATGCGCGGGCGCCCTGTCCTGCATCCTTGGCCGGGGCCCATCCCGGAGGCTGCCTCCCGAGCCCTCTGTGGCACCATGCCGGCATCTTATGCCTCCTCGTCCCTGCCCATGTCACCCCTCGGTCATGAGGGTCTTCATTCTCTCACAGACGCCCTGTGCTGGTACAGCCCAGCTCCTGGGCAGAGAGGGTTGCATGGACGCACCACATGGAGGAGGACCCACCGCTCGCTACCCCACGCCCAGCGCCCCACGCCCCGTTGGCGCTGAGGAGCAGTTACGGCGAGGCCGTGTTGACCACTGACCTTTGCACGAGGGAGGCGGGAAGTCCCACCCTTTCTGGGTGCAGGTGAGCCGCTCCTGCCCACGCAGCTCATAACCGTGCTGGCAGGAGAACACGAGCACCTGCTGGCCGGACTCCTCGCAGTGCACGAAGCCACCATCAGCCACGCGGTCGGGAAAGACGCACCGGCCCTCTGTGCCAGAGGAGAGGCTGACTGGCGACCTCCCCGGGAGGGCAGACAGGCCCTGACTCCCAGGTTTGGCCCGTTCCTTACACAGAGCACAGTGGGAGGTCTGGCCTCAAAAGGGGCCCTATTTAGCCTCTGTCCCCCCAGCTACATGTGAGCACCATGAAGAGGTGTGTGTGTGCACAGTGTGCATGTATGCATATACACTGTGCATGTGTGGATGTGTGTGTACACTGTGTGTGTACACAGTGCGTGTTGCATGTGTGTACAGTGCATGTGTGTGAAGAGTATTATGTGTGGGGGTACAGCGTACATGCATGTGTGCATGTTGCGTTTTCGTGCATTGTGCATGTGTGTACAGTATGCATGTGTGTGAGGAGTGCTGTATGTGTACAGTGTGCATATGTGTGCATGTGTGTGTATGTTTTCACTTCCATCAGCGATGCAGCTGGGTTCACCTACACACATCTCTCCCTGTCTGTTCATATATGTCATGTGCGTGTGCGAGGGGTGCTGTGGGGGGGTACAGTGTACATGCATGTGTGCATGCTGTGTGTGTGTACAGTATGTGTGTGCACATGGGTTCTGTGTGTGTACAGTATGCATGTGTGTGTATGTTTTCACTCTAGTTGGCAATGTAGTTGGGCTCGCCTACACACCTCTCCCTGTCTACTCATGTATGTCATGCACGTGTGTGAGGGTGCTGTGTGTACAGTGTGAGTATGGATGTGTATCTACATGTGCCCATGTGTGTTTGTGTGACAGTTGTGGTGCATGTAGTGTGGCCCAGGCCAAGAAACTTCCTTCCACATGGTGGACCGTCACCTCATCCTGGAGCTCTTGTTTTTCCTCTTTCTTTTTTTTTTCTTTTTTCTTTTTTTTGGAGAGATTTTCACTGTAGGGCGCGTGCGCTCACCAGACAGACAGAGAGAGACATAGAGACAGAAAGCGAGAAATCACCCCCCAGGGGGGATGGTCACGCCGCAATCCCTTCTCCATTCTCCTCTCAGGATCTTGGGCATGCACGCACACGCGCCCAGCGTGAGTTTTAAGCCACCGGGTCCGGGACACGAACCGCGGTCGACTACGTGGGAGTCCAGTGACATAGCCATTACGCTAACTGCTGGTTCCCCTGGAGCTCTTGTTGAAGTAGTAGGAGTGAAGTGCGGAGGGAGGACAAGGAGGCCCACGCTGAGCCCTGCCCACAGCGGGGTGGGGTAGGGGGACAGTGAGGCCCACGCTGAGCCCTGCCCATAGCGGGGTGGGGTGGGGAGATAGGGAGGCCCACGTTGAGCATGCCACCTCTCATGTGACCTGTGCCACCAGCAGTGGACAGACACTGATATTGGAACAGTGGCCTGGCCAGCCAAGCCCCGGCTCCTTCTGTGAGGCTCAGACTCCAAGAGCACGTCTACACAGTCAGGTGTAATTCCCCCTGCCTGGGCCACGTGTAGCCTGTCCGTGTAACAGGTGTGATTCCCCCTTCCTGGGCCACGTGTGACCTCTCCGTGTAACAGGTATGATTCCCCCTGCCTGGGCCACGTGTAGCCTGTCCGTGTAACAGGTGTGATTCCCCCTGCTTGGGCCACGTGTGACCTCTCCGTGTAACAGGTATGATTCCCCCTGCCTGGGCCACGTGTGACCTCTCCGTGTAACAGGTGTGATTCCCCCTGCCTGGGCCACGTGTGACCTCTCCGTGTAGCACGTGTGATTCCGCCTGCCTGGGCCACATGTAACCTGTCCTTGTAGCCGGCATGACCCCTCCTACTGTTACACGTGTGACCTCATCTGCTTCTCCAGAGGCACCTGTGGCCCAGGACATGTAACGGGTGTGATCCCCCCTGCTTGGGCCACGTGTGACCTCTCCGTGTAACAGGTGTGATTCCCCCTGCCTGGGCCACGTGTGACCTCTCCGTGTAACAGGTGTGATTCCCCCTGCCTGGGCCACGTGTGACCTCTCCGTGTAGCACGTGTGATTCCGCCTGCCTGGGCCACATGTAACCTGTCCTTGTAGCCGGCATGACCCCTCCTACTGTTACACGTGTGACCTCATCTGCTTCTCCAGAGGCACCTGTGGCCCAGGACGAGGGGTGGGCTGTCCTCCCACCCAGGCCGAGCAGTGGTCAGGTGCTGCCAGCCTTCGGTACCGCCCGTGCCCAGCACGAGACGAGGGTGTGCGCTGGGGACCCACCCGCCGTTCTGCACGTTCACGCTCACACCACGTGCTCACAGGGCGGGCCGTCCGGGCAGCATCCCAGACCCCAGAGCCTCCACTAGGGACCGAGGACTGCCCCATGGGACACCCGTGTGCACCCTGCTCTCCAGAGGCCCGAGTCCGCAGCAGCCCTGGGCAGCCTGTGTGTGCTCACCTCGAGGAGGGCGCTCCCTCCAGGGTGCCAGGTCCAGGCCGGGGATGGCCCCGCAGGGTGTGAAGTCCTGGGGGAACCGCCCCAGGCGGAAGGCGTCCTGGGGCACGCTGGGTAGGCCGGTGTTGTCACAGATGACCCGGGACAGGGAGTGCTTCCGCAGCTCTTGCCGCTGCGCCTCGGTGAAGGCGGCTGGGCTTTCCCACCAGAACCTGGCGGAGGGTGCGAGAGCGCGTCAGGGCCGGTCGGCCCTCCCAGGCACGTGGGGCGCCCTGCACTGGGCAGCCGGGACGGGAGGGGCTCTGTGGCGGGGCCCGCTCTGCTCCGTGTTCACCTGGCGGTGCTGCCTCAGACAGGGAGTCGGCGTCACACTCAAGTCCATGTGCAGCTGCCCACCCCCCCAGCTGGGAGGTTTGGGACCGGCAGAGTAGGGACACGGTCTCCCTTTCCTCTGGGGATATTGACACAGCTGATGAAGCCCCAGCACTAACGTAAGTGCCTCAGTGAATGAACCGAGCTGCCCTAAAGCAGCCCTCCTCAGCAACTGGCCCATCTCTGGATCCTGGTCACCAGGTAACTGAGCCTGCCAGTCACAGACTGCCAGCCACGGCACCGTGACAGCACCACGCCAGCGCAGCGGCAGCCC